GCATCATCCCCAAGTTCTCTGCTGAATCATCCCTGCTGAGTCATCCCTGTTGAGGGGCAATGCTAAGTCATCCTTGCTGAGTCATCCCTGTGGAGGAGCAGTGCTGAGTCATCCCTGCTGAGTCATCCGTGTTGAGGGGCAGTAATGAGCCATCCCTGCTGAGTCATCCTTGCTGAGTCATCTCTGCTGAGTCATCCCTGTTGAGGGGCAGTGCTGAGTCATCCCTGTTGAGTCATCCCTGCTGAGTCACCTTTGTTAAGGGGTAGTGCTTAGTAATCCCTGCTGAGGGGCAGTCAGAGTCATCAGGCATCCCCGCTGAGGGGTACTGCTGATTCATCCCTGCTGTGTCATCCCCTCTAGGGGCACAAGAAAGCAGTCTTGGTAACATTCCAGCATTTTATCTTTGGTATGTAAACAGACATCTGAAGTCAGCCAGAGGAGAGAACAAAAGGAAAGAAGCACATTTTGTGTCTAAGACACATGACACCCTTCAGATGCCTGCCAGGCAAGACCTCACTCACCATTCTGCAGCAGACAAATGTACAATCCTGTGTGAATACACCTGACCTGACACTAGGCAGGACACTGGGGAGCCTAGGGGATGGGTACCACTGGGGGTGCCAAGACAGCTGGAGGTGATGAGATGCCACAGCAGAATGTTCCAGGGGTGGCGGGAGCAGGTGGGCATAGGTCAGAGGCCGTGGCCAATGGCCGCATAACCGTGAGGTATGGGTAAGGAGGACAGGAATCCCCCGGAGAAGTCCCCACTCATTCCTGAGGGTGATCCAGCCTAGGCAGGGAAGTAGGTTTCCTAGCATAGACCAGGATTTCATTAAAAAGAAGAGAGAAAATCAAATGAGCTCCCTCAGCAGGGAGGGCAAGCCCCAGGCGAAAACATGGAGGGAAGCATCAAGTTGCCAGATCCTCCCCCACCCCAACCCCCGACATTAGCTTACTGTCAGCTCTGCGGTAAGACTCACTAAGTCTGACTGTAATTAAAACAGAAATTCAGATGGGTGCAAATTAGTTTTGGGGCTAAGAAAACTGATCTCTGAGGCCTCTGAACACTCTCAACAGGTGAAAAGTCCTGCAGACAAGGGTGAGCACTGCCAGACCTGGATGAGAAGGGCCAGTCCCCACTCCCCATGACAAGAAGCAGAGCATACATGGCTCCCACCACAAGGGGACGGCACAGCCCCCAACACTCACCAGTGAAGCCTGGGGTGAGCGCTGCCAGCTTCCTCGCCAGGGTGTCCTTATCGAGGCTCTCGTCCAGCTTCAGTGGGCGCAGGTGGACCTTAAAGATGGAGGACCTGCCTTTGATGTCAGGGGGGCCTAATGAAAAAGAGAGAGAGGCACGGGCTCTTGTGCCTTCTGGGTCTTCAGAACAGTCGCCCACAACCATATCACAGAACTGCAAGCACAGCTGGGGTCCCTGTGGAGCTCTCTGCTGTCATCCTCCAGACAGAGCTGAAAGCAATGGCAGAAACCAGCCAGGGCACAGGCACATC